TTATTATTCTTATTACGTAATCTAGTATTATAATCCTTCTATTATATCATCTCATTTAATTCTTGCTCATACTTTCTCACGGAACTAGTACTTTAACAAAAAAGTTCATATACATACGATTGTACAGCTTGATAATAAATTTGTTGAAATGAGATCCCTTCGCTGAACATACCATTGTGTCTACCAATTTAAATGCGTTTATGGAAACACGTACTTAGGGAGGAGCAATGGGGTGTGACAGAATCGCTTACGTGCTGTTTGGGTTTTTGATGAAACATAGAACTTGTCTTTTCAATAATGACATGTTGAGCTGCATAAAATGTTCTGTTGTTGGCTAATTTAGAGGTAACTCAAAGAGGCTCATATTGAAATGGAGACACAAAATTTTAAAATAACTCAAGGAGGAATCGATGTTCAAAACATTCATCTTTAACCACTTATTTGATGATAATGCATGTTCATTACCCTGTATCGTAAACTAATCAATCACGAATCAACAAAGTAGGTGCACACAAGTTCAGAAATTAACGAAGCCTATGAAATATAATAACCAGTCGAAATTTTCTTCAATCTACACATGTTAATCAACAGTGGTGTGTATAAACATATAATGGATACATTTTCCAGAGCTTATGAAAAATAAATAGTATGTCAAAAACATCCATACTTTATAATTAAAAGAGATGAGTATTATGAAATGACCATTAATCCAGCAAAATATATCTGTTTTTTTTAATCTAAGAGACAAATGATTCAGGCATTAGGATACCTTGGTCATTATAATAGCTTAAAATTTTGACTAATTTATTGTTTTATGCAACATGAAACTTCGTTATATATTCCTCTTTAATCTACTTACTAGAGCACGAATATAATGTTCCATTATAAAAAAGAGAAATTTCAATCTTTCCTCATATTTAAAAGTGGTTTCTATTGTGAACTACATAATTTTTCCGTATTTCATCTTATAAAGAAAGCTATTGTTGCCATAATTTTTGTGACATTTACTATAATAATGACAAAATACATCTAGAACAATAACTGGTATTCATTTTAATTCAGCAGTTGTTTAAATCTTCCCATTGATGTTTAGGACTGCAATTAATGAGTTTGATATTTATGTTTATTTGTAAACGCATTATTATGTTTAGGAAAAATTGTTAATATTTGAAAAGATGAATTTCATTATTTAGACTTCAAACAGTGCATAGATATATATTACAAACTAGCTGGATTATACAAAACGATACGTGAGATTGAGATTCAGAAGACAGTCACCTGAATAAAAGCTAATCTAATCCAACAGTGTCTAATTTAGTAAGCCATCTGATTATATAATTTATGGATTTCGTTGTAATAGAATACTTAGACATGATTCATTATGTAATCGGAGTCACTGAATAATATAATACTAAACGTCCAGCGTGAAATGTAATGAGAAAAAACACGTGTGTATATAATCGTTACTCGTTTTTTCACTTGTTGATTGGTTGTGAAAATTTCGATCAATATTAAAACACTTTACGTTACACACCAATTTGAACCAAAGACCCTTTGGAAAGCAAACACTTAAAAGCTATTCCATACTATCATGAAACATTCCAGAAACACTCACACATGACAAACCTAGTAAGTTTATGTCTAATTGATTGCGTTATTTAATGATCAGTGAGTCGTGATTCAATGGTGTACGCACTGAACCTTAATCAGAGAGAGAGAGAGGAAAGAGAGAAATTTTAATCTCTATAAAGTAAAGAAATACAAAAGCAAATATAAAATACTTGAAGTTAAGCGTTCGCACGCGAGACCGAAGGTACTGGGTTCGAATCTCACGTACGGGTCGTGGATGCGCATTGCTCACTAGTGACTGACTTCAGGAGACACTTCTGGAGTTCTAGTGAGAAGTCGTTACCAGCGGAGTTCAACCAGGTCTGTTGTGAGATAGGAACTCACTGAAGACAATGGTGTACGGTAGCGCAACTTCGTGGATTGGTTGAAGTTAGACATTAACACCGTTGGATGCCGGCTCAGTAGTCTAATGGTTAAGTGCTCGTGCGCGAAGCAAGTAGGTCGTGGGTTCGAGCCCCGGGTGGTGCGGGGTCGTGGATGCGCACTGCTGAGGAGTCCCATACGAGGACGAAACGGCCGTCCAGTGCTTCCAGGTTTTCCATGATGGTCTAGCTTCAACTGACTCATGAGTTCAATCTGTGGAAATTTCTAAAAATCTCCACAAAACACATTCTGATAATAAATATAAAATACTTGAAGTTAAGCGTTCGCACGCGAGACCGAAGGTACTGGGTTCGAATCTCACGTACGGGTCGTGGATGCGCATTGCTGAGGAGCCCCGTATTAGGACGAAACAGCCATCCAGTGTTTCCAGGTTTTCAATGGCGTCTAACATTGACCCATTCATGATTTAAATCAAATCTTTATTTATTTGTTTAACTTGCTCAAATACAAATCATGTGCATTGCGGTTAAATATATAGAATGCTACCCATATTTTCCTAATTAACAATTTTTAATAATGTTAAACAGTTTCAGTCTCGGAAATCATGTTGGTTTCGTTTACTTTTACGGTGAATTTTGGGTTGTCTGAATTACATTAATTAAATAGTGTCAGACGAATATCAAACATAACGATGATGACCTTAAGTATTTTACACCGTGACCAATGCGAATGCATAATATATTATGCAACAATTGTTTTATTTTCTGGATAAAATCTTTAATTAAGATAGATTACATTTTATAAAAGAAGCACGTAGTTTAAACACAAGGAATTCTATGCTGACCACCGATACAACTACACGATTTTCCATTAATGGTTAGAGCTAGACAACAATACAACTATTTAAATTCTTTTACAAAAAATCTGTTCTGATTTGGATAATTAATGAATAAGTTTGTTTATTTAAGTTAGACGCAACGCTCAACGATAACGAAAATCTTGAAAGTAAATTCGATGATTATTCAAAGAAACAAAAGCTGCTCACAACCCACTGATAACTGAGTATTGATTGATGACCTATTTATCTGTTTTTTTAATGATGATTGAATTCTACCAATCAAATTACGTGGCAATTAGCCTAAGTTCAATATGTTGAGATGTTATTTAGTTGGAGGCACTCAAAGGGAAATCTTGACCTAGGTTTTCGTGCTATTTGGCAATGATCAGTAATTTTCAACTGTTATCCTGAGGGTATTAGTAATCCCCTGTGGATTTAAACCCGCATCATTCAGCTTACCGCTCGAGGACGTCACTACTGAGATAGCCGAGTTTATATATAATAGAATGTCGGTATTCAGCTGATCATAAAATTCTAAACAATACAAACTTATTATTTAGTTTGTCTTGAACAACAACATCGTCATAAGCAATTTCGGAATTCAGCAGTATCGAAATACTTCTACAAATACGTAGTCATATGGATACAAATAAAGCTTCGAAAGATTGTAATTCAAATTTTTAAAAAAGGAAAACAGATTGTCGTTTCTTAGTATATTTAAACATGTGATTTCTGTTTAAAATATATAAATAAAACGAAATACACTTAAATGTTTTCTTTAATTTACTGACTATTCCCCTGTGTTATATACTTCCATTGTTAATTAATTAAAGGTGACATCATGTTAGTTCTTTTCAACAGAATAAAATTTTATTTACATGACAATTTAAGAACCAACATGTTCACAACATCCATCAATATGAACTTAGCATTTGATTTTTGTATAATATAGTTTACTAAGACCGAACAATTACCGAGTCATCCCTATTACATAAATTTATTATTCATTCGACAAACAAGGAGTAGGAATATTAAGGTTAAGGAGACCACCAATAATGACAGTTAGGTCCTTGTTCATTGGTTAGCAAGTTGAGTACATAAATAATTATTATCACTTTTGTGTATGAAATAATGTGTCATTTTACTAAACAAAATACACTTTCAGCTGTCATATGTTTCGCTCTTTGATGACTTTAGTCTATAAGTGAATTTACTACTCTACCGTGAACTTTAAAATATAAGTTTCAGATGATTGCGTTCTAAAGTAAGATCAAAAACTTCGATTATCAAAAATTTAGTACTGAGATGAAATTATATTATATGAAAAAGTCATAGTTGTAGCATAAACATATTATATTTTTAAGGTTCTCGAAAATTTTAGACCATCATTCAATGCTATCAGCTCTGGTTGACTTTCTGAACATTATCAGCGCTTAGTTCAAGTAGAGGTGAGTATAGCAACTCTCCTACAATCAATTTCGATTATGATTAAGTTTTGTCAAGCACTTTTATTAACTTAACAGACAATGTTGTTCGAACAGTAACCATTCGCATATTTCTTCGTAATATTATGACCACTATCACATGTACGCTTGATCACATGATAGTCTAGGCACATCTCTCTCTAGCTTAAATGTTAGTCACTTAAATATCACTTGATGATTTATTCTCTTTCCAATGCATACATGTACTCCTATTATTAGCCTTACCTTGCCGAACTGCACACGATTCGATTTGACTATAAATTCGCCTCTGTATTTGCTTGCATACATATATTCACTTCTCTGTTTCAAATTCACTCTATGTGTTTGTAAATTTGTTATCCATGCTATCCTCTAATAAATTGTAGTTGCCGCTTCTGATTTCCTTCTGATTTCAAACACTTATCAAGGTGATTGATTAATGAAGCTAAGCCATTACATAACCTTCTTAATAGCTCCGCTAGACAAGAATCAATTTATTCTAGTGATCATGATTGTAATTAATTCATGATTGATACATATCATCATTCATATCAAGTTGTACATCATAAACAAACTTTATTTCTTATTGAAACCTAGAATGAATATAATTATCGAGCATATTGATCTAATCCAAATACAATCTAGTTAAAAAGTGATGATTTTCAACTAATTAAATGTACGGAACATATGTTAGTTTGAAAGATTATGCACCTTTTATTTGATTTAAATATAATAATTATCCTCTTAGTGATAAAAAGTGTTTATTAGATTTCTTTTTATAAAATAGGTTCAAATATACATAAATCAAGATATATATCCTATACATATGTATTTCTAAAGTATACAAACATAATAGAGATCAGAAATAATAAATTTAATTGATGAAATAAGTTATTTCAAACTTATCTATTATTAATGATTGTTAAGGATTATAATATTGTCCTTTTTTCAGTATAAGAAAACATATGAACAATTACATAAATCAGAATTAGTAATTAAGATGAGTAAAATATATATGTATCCAATTGATGATCAAATGAAAAGAATCTTTAGTTTATTTGTTCACAAAAAAAGAACAAACACTGAAAATAACAACAACAAAAAACAAAAACAAAAAAAAACAAGCAAAACAATGCAAATAAGTAGTATATTAATGTTGTTTGAATCTGTGTTTTTGAAATTTCTCATAATGTCATATTATCCATTAATAAATGAGTTATATTATTATTAGGTTGTAATAAATAATTATTTATTGGCATAATACGTATACAAAATGATGATTTATCTAATAAATTCACTTGTTCATTACAATATGTATACCATAATGGAATAGAATAGAAGAAACGTATATACAATGATATAATAAGTAGTATTAAAAAAATAAAAATTATAATACATTTAAACCATAAATAATTTGAAGTTAATTCTATACATTTTATTTTTTTGGAAAATTTCATTTTATAATATTGTGATAAATTTTCTGTGATCATAGTAGATTGTTCAAATAATGTTAGATTGGAAGCTAAATTAAAATTAGAAAACATTCCATAGATGATTTGTACTTTAATTAGATAGAAAGATAATATAATTGAAATCAAGTTACGTAATTTTTCTTTTAATGATATTCACTATTAAGATTACATAATCTAGGTCAATAATGTGTTTGTGTAAATTTAACCTTTTGAGTGAAATAACTGGAACAACAAAATTACTTTTACTAGTATAGCGGTTGTAGAGATTATTACATTTTTGATTGAGATCATGAACTGACTGATGTTAGACCACCTTTGGAAACCTGGAAGCACTGAACGGCCATTTCGTTCTACTGTGGGACTCTTCAGCAGTGAGCATCCACGATCCCGCTCGCAGGATTCGAAGCCGTGACCAGTGGAGCTAATCCATGTCGGGTAGAGACAGGTATCTACCTCAGTACAACAGAAGTTGGTCGCGCAATTTCGTGGATTGGTTGATGTTAGAAACTATCTCCATTGGATGCCGGATCAGTGGTCCAGTTGGTTAAGCGTTCGTGCGCGAGACCGAAGGCTCTGGGTTGGAATGCCGCAAGCGTGATCGTGGATGAGAACTGCTGAAGAGTCCCACAATAGAACGAAACGGCCGTCCAGTGCTTCCAGGTTTCAAATGGTGATCTAACATCAATCGGTTCATGGTCTCAATCAAAGAATTACTTTTTTATGTTCTTTTCGCTTGTAAACGTAGAATGTATGTTTGTATCAACGCTTATTCTCCTAATAGACAGGTGGTAATTCAGAGTGTTTACTTATCTAAAGACTCTTATTAATTTTTACCCAAAAAGGGGCACACTCAATTCCGCTCGATATGTTTATTAATTTTAACACCAGAAATTGGATTTATTCCATCTGTCTATAATACCATCAGTAAAGAAGGTATTTAGAATAACTTACAAGACTTGTCAGTTAATCGTGGATATAAGTTGAAACGTCTTTTTTTGGTAATTGACGTTAAAAACTACAAAGGTTATAAGTCGCACTATAAAGATGTAAGCAATCTTGAATGAAATATATTCTTATTGACATATCAGCCACTCAGACGAGTAACTCAACCACAAAAGTAAACACATTATGTATGCTTTATTTATTAAACTATACAGAAGTAGCATTTATAAATGCTATGTCGTTACAAAACGGTATGCATAACTGTATAAAATAGTTTTGAAGAACCTAGTTCTGTTACTTGAATTACATTATATATCTGACTAATTAAATATAATCTTTTGAAAATATCTTTGTCAACGAGTTCGTTATCAAGAGAGCAATTTTATGATCTCGTGCTTCATACAAATACAGTCTCAATACAAGTATTTTTTATAGTTTTTATTTAATTCACTGTACTTATATCATACAGCTGAGTAATTAACTATTTTTGTTCAGATGTTCATACTTGATTGCTGATCCATAAAAACAATAGATTAATTGTATCACAACAGACTTCTTAGATAACTCTGCAATTATTTCTTATGTTTAAATCATTAACACTACTTTATTTAATCATCCTAAGATTATAAAATATGAAAAATCTAGCTTTACCTAAAACTGACTCGTGAATACACACAGGAAAGCTTTTTTTGAAAATAAGCCCTGTGACGTAAGAAATGGTGGTAGTAGCATAAAATTCTAGCCAAATGTAACTTCGAAAACATTCATTACGCTTCAGTACCATTATCTGTAAGAGTTTATGATGTTGTTGCGTTGTTGATGTTAAGTGCTACAAGTGATCATTATTCAGTGAGATATGTGTATCGTAAACGGATAGTCTTCATTTGCCTTTAAGTCACAAGTTTTTCATTATTATTTTTAACGAATTGTTTCTCCTTTCGTTAGCTTAGAAATAAAGCATTAGTATAATATGTTTCAATTTAATGGATTGTTTTCACTCTATCTTTTTATTGAAACTTCTCAGCATCTCTGATTTAATGCTTACTCGTATGTATATTGATAAGGAGAGCCAATAAGAAATAGTCTAATAAGAAAGTCAATAGATGTCAATTAGAAGTGACCTAAAGGACAAGTGCATTTCATTGGATAAGAAATGGATCAATCCCTTAAGGATTAGAATGGTATATATATCAATGAGTATTTGTTCATTTTATTCAGTAACGCGATACACTTTCTCTCTCACTCTTGTGATCTCGTCCAAGTAGTTATTTGAAAAGTTATTGTGTCGCATACCATGCATCACTATCAGATTTTGAACCATCCGCCAAAACATTTATGACTTAGTATAAGACTGATTTGTCTGCAAAATTTGCTCTCCTCACTAAACATTCAGTGAACGAAAAGTAAAGTTCAAATGTCAGTATGGTTATCCTGAGATTAATGAATTATACAAAGAATACTTCATAAATATCACTCACCATCAGCACTTTCATTTTTTATATCTAAGCAGTGATATTTATATTGTTCATTATTATTTGTCGAATAAACAGATGATATTTCTGTAACATTGTTTCTAGCCTAAAATCAATCAATAAAAATAAGTCGATCTTGGGAAATTTGAAATATAGTCCAAGGAAGTTTGAAATATCAGCAACTGTACCATTTTTGTTATATTTCAAATATATGCAAAGACATTAATTCTTCATAATAGGGATAATGTTTCTGGATTTTTGTAAATACGAATCAAATTGCAAATTTAAGAATAACTGTGCACTAGGCATTTATGAAATTTTACCAAAGAATTGTTAAAATAATATTCGTCAATATGGGGTTGTGGAGACTGTTTAGTTTTTATCGGTATCCTAAACCGATCAATGTTATTCAACCATCATATACTCACTGATGACTACTTCCAAGAGATAATTCTCGGAGTTCTTGTGAGAGGTCACGACCAATGGAGTTCAACCGTGTCGGACGTGAGGCAGTTACTCACCGAAGACAATGAATGATGGTCGCTCAATATCGTGCGTGGATTGGTTGAAGTTAGTCATGAACACCGTCGAATGCCGGATCAATGGTCTAGAAGTTAAGCATTCGCGTGCAATATCGAGGAACGTTTTTTGTAGTTAATAGAAGATAGTTTTACACAAATAAGTATATATTTTCCTTTCCTGAGTTTGTCTGTAGAAATAGTTAATACAGACTAAATGAATGTTATATTTACCTTTCAACCTATGTATCTCTACTTTTTCTGGGGATTTTGTTTTTGATAACAAATCTCTAACCAATACTCTGATAGCAGAAAGTCAGGATTGTCAGAAGCTGTATTTTTCAAATATTAAATGCAATATATAAAAATACAACGCCAACTAAATGGTGTTGATTCAAAATTAAATAAAGTGCAATTATATGAATGAGTAAATGACGTTTGTCAAAGAATTTATTAAATTACATAAAGAGTAGGATAAAAATTAAAATGTAATGACATCACTTAATCAGATATTCAAAGCTTAAATCAGCAATTAAATAGGGGCATATTCGCTTATTTTTTTTACATTATTTAAATGTGACATTAACACATAATAGTTAAAAGTGAAAGAGCTAAAAAAGATCATAAACTGAGACCTAATGATACTGTTTGATGATGAACTCACTTATAATATCAAAAAGATCAATATTAGGTATCTATCTTTTAGACAATATGATCAAAGCGAATGATTAAAAAATTACTAGTTTCAATAAATCTACTAGAATCTCAATAAAGTCTGCCCAAGATAGTATACAGCATGATAAAATGTATACAATTAAACAGCTGCTATCTAGTTTGTGTTCAGATTCAACAGGAGTAGATTTATTTTAAATACTTTTATATTTCTAGTTTAAACAGTTAGCCTTTCCACAACTCCTCATGTTTCTAAAATCATTAGAACCAGTAACATTATTAATTTCACTTACAGTGTAATACCAAACACATAAACAATAACACTGAGAATGATTATAAATGATTTGGATAGGTGCATACGAAGAAATTTATTTTCGCATTTCAATGTGATTATTTAACAGACTAAACGAAATTAAATGATCTTGTTAAACTTACTTGTTTAACTTGTTTAGTCCAATCTGTTCTCAATGCAAGTATTGTGTAAACCATAGTCGTTAATCCAAAACCAATGGTTAAACCTATCCATGATCCTGATTATGATGACATTGAAAATAGAATTTCTTATTACTATGAAAGTGTTTTTTTAAATAAAACTTGAAATGATGGGATAATGAATTGTTCATTCAGTATATTACACACTAGTGTTCACCTATTTGCAACAATGTAATAAATACTACTAGTTTGATCTACTTTTTGTTGAAAAAATTCATAAAATTAGAAACTAAACATTTAAAATACCAACTTTCATGTGTAAAAATTACTCCACTATTGTTTTTCAAACTCCGCCCATGAATTACAGATATAGACACTAACAAAATCAATACTTGCCTCAGTAGTCTATAGCACACTGAAAAATGATTGAGAATATCCCCAACACAGGTGAATACATATGGTGGTATTGTGTTCTCTGAGCTACATGGAGTAAGTGTTGTAGAAAACAAAATTTTAGCAGTTCAACCACATTGTTCAACGATCGCAACACTACCAAAAGCACTCATAAGATCTAGCTGCACGTTGTAGTTTCTAGTAATACGTTATCAGGAGTATCCCTGAATTGTTTGATGGGGTCCTTGAGACTATCGTAACCAGTGGTTGAAGACTCTGGGTGACATGGTTCAGAATCGACCACAATGATCTAGAAGCATACACTCTTTGTCTTCCCTTAAATTGTGAGATCAAAATTACTTTATACCTTTCTTCCTAGTACTAATTCTTTCTTCTTGTATCATATCCTTATGCTCAATCTTTGTTTATATATATATATATATATATATATATTGATACCACTGAAGTAACTACTTTTATGAATTTACTGTTCGTCTTGTTATGCTAATGAGCTATTAAAACTTGAACCGATTCATATATGTGCCTGGTCCTACGTTGTTGACGACTGACTGACTAATCCTTGAATTGTATGATTTTCATCATTAAATACTGTAGTCTTCCAATAAGTACGTGTACAGCACATTTTCAAAGTATGAAAATTTTCATAATAAACAATTAACATTAAAATTTAGTAAAGTCTTTAGTATCTAGGTATCCCACTACAGATACTGCTAATGACTATAATGGCTAGACGCCGATCTCAGTCTTTGGACCATCAGACAATAGAAGAGAATGAAAATTGAGTACTGACATGTGTTGAATTGTTTAAATTGTAATCATTATGGATTTGATTTATCATTATTTACACTTGTATTGATCATAAAAAATACAATCAAAGAAAAGTTATTTTCCAAACACCAGTGTAATAGATCACTTGATGAACAAGTCTGAAAAATATTTACAAGATTTTAAAGGTAACTATTTATTTATCAGTTACACTGGACTTTTTTGAATTAATTTTCATCATCAGGAAAAGTTGAAGTGTTAAGCGACTGTTCGAATGGTTTGCATCAGTAGTGTTCTTTTTTTCATGACATTTTATTTAAAGCAAATACATTTTTTCTAAAATTTGATGCTAATATTTTTGAAATTTATGTTTCACTAATCAGTGCGTTTGTAAAAACTGTCTTACTAACTTACGCCTGTTACCTCATGAGAAGAAGCATAGGCCGCCCACCGAGATTCTCCATTGAACTCAAAATCTATGTCTACTTAAAAGTAAAGTGATCACTCTACTATTGAACATTTGAAGCTACTTATCCATCAACTATGTGCCCAAAAACACATTCATGCATATAGACAGACTTGAATATGAATTCGGTCAAAATTCTGCATCCAGACTTTAAAAAACCGGAGAATTTCTAGAGGCATAGGACTAAGATCGATTGGCAAACAGTAGATACATTGATATATACACGGTTTATCAACGCTTCAATAAAACATCAGTCAGCCAAATGGTTACAGGTAGGCCGAGAAAGCCTGTTAACAGGACTGTACACTTTTCTTTGCGACAAGAGGCTTTAGTAACTCAAATATCTCTCATCAGAATAAGAGGACAATCTTATATAGTCTGAATTTGTGATCAATATATTAAAGTACGTTTTTAGAACAATATATGGTGTAAACCTATTTCGTTGTTGAGATACGGCTTCTAGCAATTTCCCAGTATTTCCAACTTTCGATTTATTTTATTGCCTGGTTTAGGTCTAAACACATGAATATAAGTGCTCTTATTTTTATAAGAATATGTCTAGTACGAACTAAGAATATTATTATCAAGAAGGATTTAGTCTAATCAGCTTTTTAATATGTTAAATTTTACGCAAAATGTTTACAGAGAAAGCAATCTTAGATTGCTGCAAAATATACTAAATATTATTAGATATTTAACACAAATTAACTTTGTGTAGAAGATTGTTACGCTTTTTAGTGGTTTAAAAACCAATAAATAAATCATGTATGTTTTTGGTCACTGGCGATAAACACATAGTTTTCAATTGCCACTCACATTCTTTCACTAGATCAAAGGTAAAAGATGTTTTTAGCCTCAATTCGTTAAACAGATGTAAAATACTTGGTTGGTCTTTTAAAAAAAATGAATCGTTCAATCTGACTTGTTCTGTAATAGCGATAAATAATCATTGGGCTTCATGAAAATTAATTTGCTATATTAAAGAACATGATTAGTTCAAAGCCTGTATGGTAGTTGTGGTTAGATAACCTAGGAGTGAAATACCTTTGAAACGTTTGAGAATTTCTTGACTGATAATCTATCAATTAAATAGTACGCTGAGAAACTTTGCAGATGTTAACCTAGGTCACTTTTCCTAAATAAATTAACAAACTTAATGACTTTAAAGCGTTGTTCAACCTAAGATTTGAACGTCATGTACATTTTGTGAAAACGCACTGCTATATTGCTAAAGACATCAGTAACTCTTATAAGTCCCATGAAATCTTATCAGTTGGACTAGTTAGCAAATAGACCTATGGTAATCAAGATACTTTCTGTTCACTCAAAAATTAAAGTTTTTGGACTTAACACTTCTTAGTACACGGTTTTACACGATAATTTCAACTAACAGGTATCTAAGTAGACCAACTTCAGTGTTTAGAACTGCAATAAGCTTAGAATGATGCTTCAGTGTCTACATCCACCATAATTTGTTGACAATTTTTATTATATGTACTTCTGTTGCTTATTTGTTATTTCCAATATTTGATAGTGACCGTGTACAGTCATAATAGACTAAAGGTTCTAAATTTGTCTGAAAAAAAAACATTACTTATATTAATAGCATAAAAATATAGATACAGTATGTTTCATATAAATATTCATAGGTCATCTTCATTGCAAGCTCTCCATAGACATAGAGCATTAGAATTCTACAACATGGATTTTAAATTCTTCTAAATGGATGTTTCTATAAATATTAAAAATGTCACGGATTTCATATTAAGTTAGATGAACAGTAGTGACAATATTGTGGAAGAATAATTTTTTAACTAAAAGATTATGGTAATATCTTTGTAACTAAATAATTTATTAATTACAATGATTCATTAGCTCTTGGTTAAAATCCATTTATAATATAAGCTTACCTAATATTCCAAGTGATGTCTGATAAGTTAGTAATGCAGCAATTGGCATCCCAGTGCAATAATAACCTAAAAATATCGTAATTGCTCCAAGACTTTGACGCCCACAAGCTAGTAAAATAGCCTCTGATACACCCTGCCAAGTTAATAAACAATAAATTTAAATCAAGAACAAATCCATTCTTAAAACTCATTTTTTTATATAAAAGATATTCGAAACAAATATATTGTCAAGCCATTAGCTTGCTAGTCATTTTAAATGAATATCTATCATTAATTTAAAACTATTAAGCTATTAGTATTTAATGGCAATATTTGAATAAGTAAATAATTGTCCTTGGATATATTTGTAATGGTTAATGTGAAATTAAATGGTGGCGAAGAAACTTTCTGTGACCATATGTATTACCTATCTCAATTCACCTAACAGTTTAGTTACTGGGCTAACAAATTTGTCTTGTAACCTAGATAAGTCATATTCACTTTAGAAGCCTCTAAGTTTTCACAGAAAATAATTTCCTTGTCAAAAACAGTGATAATTGTTTGAATAAGACGTTTGATAAAGACGTATCAGAAAAATCCTAATTAGTGTCCTATAAGAATAATTTTAGCTAAACAGGTTTCAATCATATTTAATTAGTGACCAAGTTATTAATTAAAATCAGATCTGATTTAATTTTAAAACTGATTAAAAGTTTTTCATCTTTTCATATTCAAAAGAGAAAACTTGGGAAATTCACCTTCATTTTATGAATTAATTAATCATGTAAATTCAAGTAGAATATCGTAAAGAATAGTTGTAAGTCATGATAATTTCGAAAGACGGTATAAACATTTACAGTCCATTAGATCATAATAATAATTCGTTAGTATCTGTTTACTTTTTTTATATTCTTTAGGTGTTAAGATCATTTTATTAACTATTTGGATTATAAGTTGAATAAAGTAATAATGAAAGTATTATTCATTAGTTTTCAGATTGATTCAAAACAAAACCGCCATTATGTGCATTAAGAATCCATAAACCAATGATTACTCTCTTTTCTTTGCTAAATGTTTATTTGCAAACATCTCTGAATGTCCAATATACAAATTTTCTTAGTTTTGTTCTTCTACAATATAATAGGAACCTGAATAAGACACTTCATTATAGAATCAAGACCATATGCTCTCTAGACGTGGTTGAAAATGAAACAAAGATATTGTATACGACCCTGAAAGAAAATAGATATCCGGAAAAATTTATAAATAAACATTTAGCTAAGAAAAAAGAGCATAAAGAATACCTAACTGTGAACGAAAAGCCCTTGTATTTGCGCTTACAATTTAGAGGCGATGTATCCAGCGATATGCTTATACTAAATCTGAACAGAGCAATTCAAAGAACAAACAAGCTACAATTATTTTTTTCTACATATCCGGCGATTACTCCGAGGTTGAAAGATAAATTACCTAGACCGGTCACTTCTTTCTATATCTATCAATTCAACTTCTATTGTGGAGCAAGTTGGCAGGTGTTCTAAGAATTAGTATTTTCGGACTAACGAACACCTCCCAGTATGGTGAAGTAAATGTATATTTAAAACTATAAACAGCTCAATTTTAGTTCATTTAGTACAAACGGGGCAAACAATCAGTCTTACATAATAATATTTTATGTTAACAGAAATTTGCCTAAATCCGTGAGACTAAGAATCCTTCAGACAGCTGAAACAATTTCTATTCGAATGAAAGAGTTGGAGCTTTGAGTCCAAAAGAAATATATTCAACCACTCCTTTTACCCTGGCCATCTTCGGGTTCGACTAGTTAATAGTCAGTTTTATGATATGGTGACATAATTTGATTATTATTGATCGTAACAGCTTAAACTTATCTTATTCACATATCTTATGATTGTTATTATTAACATCAATATTAGAGCACCTGAGAAACGTTTTGAGAAGTTTATTCAGCATCCAACCCTATTAACTAGTTCGTAACTAACTCATATTATCCTACATATTACGTAATTTCCGATTTACAATTACATTATTCCCTCTCACTACATGTTGACCATACTTACTCTGATCATTGTTTATCTTACAATGTATGAATCTGTTCAAGTTAACACCTCATATTAGTCACCCCAACATTAACGATTTCATTTTATTTTTTATTACAAACAATCTTTAATTCATATGTTATAATTTTAAATGATGTACTCTGCCTTAAACCTGGCCAATTTTATGGATTATTAATTTGAATACGTAATTGTAGAACCTGGTGAGAAGAACATTCTTCGTTCATATATCTGTGCTTTAATATGATTTCCTTCTTTCTAAAAAAGCAAACGTTCGTCTCTTCAGAATATGGTGTAGTACGTCATTAGACTAGATAAAATGTTTTTAGTAACTGTATGCTATATTCTAAATGTGATGCTTCAACAACACTTCTGACTAATTAACTGCTAAGAAAATGCAGTATGATTGTGGACATCTGGCAAAACCTACTAAGAATAAAAAACAATTTGATATAAATAAGAAAATGAAAAGAATTTCTCCATTTTCAATAATATTGAAAGTTAAACAAAAACAAACCCAGTAGAACTTGTTAAATGTTCCACATCCATTTGAAATTTCTCTCGTTTATACAATCAACTAAATAAAGTAATATATTTTAACGCTTAAAAAGTACTCACAGCAAATCCTTCAAGAAACTGGAATAGTAAAAGCATTGGTAAAAGCTGACTGGCTAATGAACAAACTTCTCTATCAAGAAATAATAAGAATACAAGAAAAGAAACATTTATTTTCAGATATTTCTTAATATGAACAAGTGGTGAAAATATTCTTTTTTTAAATAATCCATGAAATAAATAATAAATATATTAGTTAGTAATAACATGTAAACTTGATGAAACTTCTAAATTTCGAAAAAAATACAATATGTCGTTGATATTTTAGAAACCACTACATTTATTGTCCAAGTTCGTTTAGATGCGTAGAAAAAAAGCGTTATTAACTCCTGTTTATCATTTTCGTGATAAAAATAAATGAACGATTTTCAAATGTTTCATCTAAACTGTTGTGCTACTTATAAGTAGTATATATCAAGATTCTGAAGTAGAATTCTTATCAACAGAAAAGGAAAATGAAGAAGGAACAAAAAGAGTAGAGAGCAGTCAGAATATTGCAGGAACGGAAAAACAATGGAGTTTGTAAAGGACAACTCAAGGAAGATATGCAAACAGTGCATTTAATGTATTGTTTTCATACTTTATAAATACAGTGTGACTCTGCCTGATATAAAAAATTAATTAACCCTACTCAAGTCATCGATCATAACACTATTAGATTCTTAATTTTTATGTTAGCATTTGTACTAATGCTAATAATTATCTCATTTAAAGTAAATTAACGGGAATAATTATCACTAACAAAGCGTACACGTAACCTATAAGTAATTAGCATCACCAAAGTGATTCAAAGCCGAAGTATTGACTACTTACAACATTGTACCACAGTCAATATTTATTTACGATATATATTGATTACTGTTAATTTCTAACCAGATAGTGAGGAGAAACATGAACATGAAATGTCATTCAATTAATAATTTCGGCACAAAGTTGTCAATAACAAAATTAGTTATTTTTGTAAAACATAAAAATCGTTGCATTTTTTTAAATTTTATTCAACAATATCTGCATTATATGACTTTTACCGATACACTACAAAGAGCTTATAGTTAAAATAAAAAAACGCTTTGATAAGTTGACAACGGTAATTACTTGTCTGAATGAATAGTGTTATAATTTTATATAAATATTATTAGTAAATGGCAGTGTCAAATAAATAGTCTATATGCTCAGATTTACACTCACAGCCTTTATCATTTCAACTCTTAACTCAACTAAAACCCCCATTGATTTCCCAATATATGAAATACCTATTTTGTTGAGAGCTATTACACATTTTACTGATATCATGTATGGTTGTATCTTATAATATACACATTTATGGTCTATATCTAATGTAGTCATTGTTAGTCCAATTAGAAATTGATTACAAATAATGTTATCTAAATAAATCTATATTCTGATATTATTATATAGCTTTTAATCGAATAAAACAATAACTGATAAAAGAAGTAAATTAATTAAAGTAGAATAGATATAACTCACTCATCCGATGTGAACATATAAGGAATGTAATGTCGTAAGAGTACAACAGGTAAACCAGTAAATAATGCAACTATAGCTAAAAAAATACAACAAAATATGAATAAATTGAAATATTGTTTGATTTTGTTAAATATACTTGTTGGGTACATTTTGAAACATAATGTATAAACATAAACATTCTGAATAAAATAGAAAATAATTTTGTTTTTGTTTTATACCTTCAGTGAACAAACATTTATCTCAACGGTTAAGATCATGAGTCAGTTGAAGCTAGACCACCATGGAAAACCTGGAAGCACTGGACGACCGTTTCGTCCTATTATAGGACTCCTCAGCAGTGCGCATCCACGATTCCGCCTCACGAGATTCGAACCCAGGATCTATCAGTCTCGCGCGAGATCGCTTGTCCTCTAAATCATTGAGCCGATATCCAACGGTGTTAATGTCTAACATCAAGTAATCCACGACCTCGCCCCCTGCGAGGCTCGAACCCAGGACCTACTGGTTTATTGATATATACGGTTATGATTGAAATATTCATTTAAATTACTCATAGATATTTTAATAGTGATCATTACTATAGTTACAGTTACTTCACGAATAAAAAATACTACAACATTTCACATTCATTGAACGAGTAATTACAGATAACTTACAAATGATTGTTAACGCAGTGAAGTATACATAACGAGCACCAACTGGATCAAATGCACCAAGTCTTTGACCAACACGAATATTTACTGCTGTGAACAGTCCAAGAGGAACCTATATTTAAGAATTAATTGATTTTGTATTTATAAAATTAACAAGAAGGATCTTATAAAAGATTGAAGCACTGTTAGTAATGGAATATGCCAAACTAATGATACAGTCGTCATAAATTTTAGAAGACATTAGATTATAGTTCTGTCCCTCTGTCTCTCTATAAACTCTATCCAGTTCTTTCAGAAGTTATATTAATAATAACAATAATAAATACATTAAATAAGAACTCGACAGACATTTGCCATTGCTCCTTGAAGTTTAACTAATCAACTTAAGAATCGCTTATCACTAGTTTTTCATGCTAAATAGGAAATGTTTTCGTATGTACGAATTTTTCAATAATCAATCTAATATCCAACTTTAATTTGCATAGTTCTATGTCCCAGTCATGGTCTTATTGTAAGTACACTAATTAAATAATTGCCCTTGAGAAATGTATACTTCTAAAACTCCCGAAATACACGTTTACAATATACTAGGACTCTGTTTGTATGTCGGTCACTCAAGTATATTGAGTGACTTAAGACAAGGTTACATTTTATTAAAAGAAAACAGTTCTGATTGCGGTAAATATATTAACAACTTACCATATATATTATTGACTGAATCTGAAACACGATTGCCTGAGCTCCCAGAGTTACGCTTCCCAGAGTGCCTAGAAAGTGATTTACAAGCAGAAGCAGAAGGATGTCAAAAGATCAACATTGGACACATAATTTGAAGCCTCTAAAATAGAACGTTGACTACTACCACATTGTATAAGGTAAATAACAGAGTCATACGTGAAGTAAAGTAGAATCCTCTCAAAATACAAGTCACATTTTCATTCCGGATATATGGTATATATATAGTCATCAAACGGATTGTAGGATTACTTATCAAAGCTAATTTATAAAACATATTTCCTCCTTCAGTGACCTTAATAAAGAAGAATATCACCACATTCACATGATGAATGTTTCAGCTGATTTCGTTTGAAGTGACTTTACGATTTGAGGTCACCAAACATTGACAGCCAGTACCCTTTATTTCAATTTTTATAGTATAATCTGTCATAAAGTAATACTTGTATTACTAATGTTTCACAGAACTGTACGAAATAGATTTCAAAAATAATTTTTGATGTAACTAACTGATTGGTTTAGTGGTTTAGCTACTCGTGTCACAGGTGTTTGTCATAGAATTTTTCTTAATAATTACTTTAAATAGTAGAAGTTTATCTCAATATGTTGGTCAACTAAATTGAATCAACTTACCAGCCATTAATGTCATCATTTCAAAACACCATTCTTCTAGTGCCACCATTAAAACACCAGGAATTCCCAATTTGAAAAATATACTCCAATTACTGAGTGCAGAATTTAATTTGAATCCTGGAAACAAAACATATAGCTCAAACTAAGACTATTTATAACAGATTTTCAAATAGCATAAGCTGTTGCTGATACAGAGATTGTAAATGGAACTATAAACTTTGTAGATCTCTGATGCACTAAATAAGTGATTTATTCTCCAATAGTTTACATCATCATTAGCTATATATATATATATATATATATATATATATATATATATATATATATATATATATATATATATATATATACAGCCTGTGCAAATTGCTTCGATATTGCCTTACGTCACATGCATTATAAGCAGAGATGGATGGTGTCTGGCATTTGAATCCGGAATGCCTGCTTTTTTTTCTATTTCGGACTCTTCAGCTGAATGTACCTACACCCCGGTGTTAATGTTTACTCCTGGACTCAAACCCAATACCCATGAAACTTGCGATGTTTGTGACTAGGGGCAATATCGAGGCAGTGCGCACAGGAAGCACATGTACTAATAAGAGACTGGTCAATTGCGGTCCTAAACATCGATGGGAAAATTCAAGCAAACAATACCAAGTGAATTGGAACTTCACTGCATTACACAAGAAAGTGGCTATCTGGATTCAGTGGCTAAGTGGATAACGCGATGGCTTTTGAAGAGAACTGTAATGGGGTGGTACTGAAGTGAACGTCAAATATGGGATGCAGGTATATCTAGGTAACAAGTTTCAAATACGACGAAATGCGAGTCCTGGATTTCACTACTTGTCACCATCCATCTCTGCTTATGACCTTCATTTTAGCAAAAAGACTTTTAAAACACTTCATAGGGTTCTATGAAAACGGATTTACCCCCACATTCTCAGGCGACAAAGCGGTGTGTAGTTCTATAAAAATCTCTTCAATAAAAAACTGAATCGGCTTCACGAAAACCCAACACACTTCCCTTCCAACTCTTTCTCTTCAATTTTCAATAGTTCATGTGGGTAGCCGAGATCATATGCACGATTTCTGAAAGGCTTTTTAGCATGAATTGTACCCGAGAACACTTTCCATAGGATTATTTCGAAAATAAGCTTTATTTCATCCCAAATGTCTTATGGATTTCATTGGAACAATTTTTCAAAAGTAATATTTAACTACTGACAAGTAGTCAAACTTATTTTCAATAGAGCTGCAAGTATGAAGATTCGACATGACGTCAACTTACAGTAATTAGACAAGTCACATTAATTTTGTTCCACTATGAAACACCACTACTAAGTTCAAATTATCCTAATATAGTATCTTAATCTGGCTGTGGATTTCTCAATAGTTAAATGGCTTCCAATAATCGTCATCAAGAAAATCAAATGATGAATAAAAGTTACTTTTCAGCTTTTTATGGAGTTACTGAAGCAAATTCAGTGGAATTCCAAAAAATCAAATAACTTTTGAACAAGACATTGAGCGTTTTCTTTTGTCTTCTAGAGCTTTTTTCACGTTACTCGAGGTCGTAAGGATGATTTTAGAATGCCAGTTCACTTTGATTATACCTATGGTTACAGAATCCGTCAAAGCAAAGTAATCAGTAAAATCTATGTCATAAAACAGCTACCTCATCTAAGTTTGGGTCTCTTCAGTTGTGCAAACTAGCGATCCTGTCAGCGATAAGGACCAGCACCTTTTTAAGTGAGTTACTTCTGAATAATTGAATCAGAACTCAGTGTATCATAGCATGACAATCGAGTAATCCCACTGATGAATTTCTGATTGACGCTTGATTTGGTGGGTATCTACCAATCACAAATTTTCACCAGAACCTCAGGAATCTATCGTAAAGTCATACACTTGTGATCAAACAATGACTGTTATGTTTAGAGTTTTGAGAAATGAGTTAAATTGCCTGATAACTGTTTCTTTGGATTAATAAAAATGGAGAACTATGGGCACACTATATTGGATTCAATACGTGGTAAAGTCTAAATGTTTGTCAATAACGACAACCTTAAAAAGTTAAAAACTATACATTAATCTGGCAGTATTACGGAGTTTGAACATTCCTATAAGATATTTTACAATATGTAGTACCATTTCATCTGACCTATTTATGATTACGAAGATACATTATACGAATAAAATTTACGGAAGAAAAACCAATAAAAATAAAGAAAACAAAAACAAACATTTATAATGACTTTGTGTTAATATGATTTAGTAACTATAAGATCAGAAGTGATTCTTTGTAAGGGGACTTACAGACTCCATGACTAGTACATTTGGGACAATAAAGATTTTTAGTAACTTTTCCACGTTTTTATTTGTAAAAAGTTACATGAGTGGTTTTCACGGTTTTAATTCATTTCAAATTTTAATAGTTGAATTTACGAGTCGACGTAAGTTAAACCACCACTGAAAACCTGGAAGCACTGAATGGCCGTTTCGTTCTAGTGTGGAACTTCTCAGCAGTGCTCATCCACGATACCACATTCAGAACTCAAACTCATTACTTTCGGTTTCGCGCGCGAACGGTTGACCAATAGACCACCAAGCTGGCATCCAACGGTGTTTATATCTAACTTCGATCTATCCATCTCATATGCTTAAGTTTTTACCTTAGCCGTTTCAAATATTCACGAATCACTTTATGGACCTTAGCGTCTATCAATTCCTTATAAACCATAGGTAAACAAGGTTAATACAGGTTATTCGTGAATTTTATTTTTACAAAACTAAACTATTACTGTATATCTCCAGAAACTTATAGACTGCATAATTTTGAAATGAATCATTTCGTTTTCTTTTCTAAAAAGTGGTCATAAGTATCTCTCATAAAACACATAACTATGAATAAAATAGTTAGATTTTTATATTCGATATACCGGGAATATTCAACGCCGTCTCTAAATGTTTATCTAGCTTGTTTTCATTCATCGAATAAGAGGATAAATGTTTAAGTTCGTACAGTTTCAGGTACATTTGGTAAGCTTGTCATCGAACGGGGACTTGAGTCATTCTGATAAAAATATCTATTTTCTTTATGGATCAAATTTAAACAGCCCGTCTTTCTTAACGTTGACAATTCAACTGTATTCAATTTAAAAAATGAATAAAAGTCTAATTAAATATGTAGCTTTGCTACCAATCTTCCTTAAGGAAATGAATGGATCGTTTTTGTAACTGATCAATAATGAATCCACTCATTATTTTACAGCACTTGAATGAACACAGTATCTTAGAATTACGATTAGTGAATAAAGATTGGCAAACAAGTCATGCGACTTTTGTTTCAAAATATTTCAATTTATCAATCATTAGTATGTTATTTCCGTGATTTGTCTAGGTGGATTTGATGCAAAATAAAGCATTCATTATGATACATAACAACTGTTTATCATTTCCATGTACCAATATGATAGGATTTCATATATTGTCATGTATTGTATCCAGTGTAAATCGCTGATATGTCAATGTAGTATCTGTTTAGTGTTAAAAGTTGTGAAGAGGTTGTATAAAGCATTTATTCATTAGACATCGACAGAGGTTAACCTAAATGTAAGATGGTATTTATTGGTGACATTGTGAAATTAAAGTCTATATTTTGTAGATCGTAGAGATGACTTATATGGACTTAGTTTGTGAAGAATTCCCGATAGTATTGATATTTTCCATAGTTAGATTCAACTTGTTTAGTTCTCACTATCAACTGTAAAACGTTGTTAAAATCATAGTGTCAATTTCCCCTTAAAAACACACATTTTATACATAAAATACATATGCTATTCCATTTTCATCTCTTTCCATTTCATATTTGTGTCAATTTATCAAGACTGCTGCATTTCTTTTACTTCATAATTCAAGTATCATTTCTGGTCGATTGATCGCTTCAATATTCAAATGTACATACTGATTTGGAATAAATATTTCTTTGATGTAAGTTAGAGTTTCTATTTTAAATAATTCGAACACTTAGAAATCCATTATATCAAGCAATATTTTAACAAGCTGTTCATATTTGTTTACAAAATATTTTGACAATATTTTCTATATATGCTCGTTGCGTATTACTCACTTTTAGTTTACTATATAGTTACCAGAATCAGATATTTAACATTTTCGTACAGAACATTAAACTTTTTAAAAAAAATGGAATCGTCACTAGTTTGGTTATATTAGATAGAAGATCAGTTATTTTGACGAATTTCACCTACTGATAGTTACCTATACATTCCAAGTTTTACATTGAACTTTGATATCAGATTAATGAACGATTTCATGAAAATAAATGACATCGTCGATGGTGCCTACTTTTTAATGCACCTTGGTAACTCTGATAAGATTTCGGTACATGATTTTTATACAAATTCAGCTACATTTCAAATACTCCTCATTTTCTGACTCTGATATTACTCAAGGACTAACATGACTTTTAGTATAAATTTTAAAAGGGTCAAATTGTTTGTACTTCTAACTGTAGTTAGATTATTAGTGTGTAATATTTCTTTTTCACTTATTTAAATGATATACAACCACTTAAGTGAAAATCAAAACAATCTCCGTGAATTATTAATAACATTGTATAAAGTATACTTTGATAATTGAAAAGATTGAATTTATCACTTACCACTCCATGTTTCCTTATAAACTTTGGAAGCTAATATATATCCCAATTCGCAAAGAAACATACAACCAAACGATAAGGACAGGCATATAGCGGAAGCGCTAGAACATAGAAAAAGTGTGATTATCATCATTTACGCCAATATATATTGTTTTAAATAATTAAAAGTATTTGTAATACATTCTGTATATAGTTTTTTGACGAGCGTAGATATAAAGAAGATAACGTCTACTATTCAACAGTAAGTAGAAAAAATACAACTTGTTGAAAACTTCCAATGAAGTCTTCTTTTGATCTGGTTCAATAAGCATTCGAAAGATTAAAACTCAATTGCTCATAAAACATTCTTAGTCTATTTCGAAATTTTAAATTTAACCTTCCCTGCCAAAAGTACAAGTGGTTTGATGAAATACACTAACGAGCTGGTGGTGATAAAAGATAGTCTCTGAAGACATTTCTCACATGAAGCTGATGAGAGAGACGAAATTCCATTTTATATACTTAACAAAATACCTCAATGACTCATACTAGTTCTAAAACTTTAAGTGAAATGAAATCAATAGTAATGAATGCAAGACATTTACCAACTACAAGTTTTCATTGTTTATTGTCACAAAGCACTGCATATGTGTACCTTAATTATTTTTTGTACAGCATCTAACCCTTTACAACCCAGAAATTCTAGCAAATCATGACCGGTCCTGTTACAATAGACGAACACTGTATTATTTCACAAAAAACTGTTTCATGATTCTCACAAGCACATCAAAGTTAATTTTCGTGACACTTCATCATTCAAACACCCTTCTATGTAATATGTACTACATGTGTTTTTGATGGAGTTCTGTTCTCTGAGCTGGATGGTTTGGTCGTGGAGCTTTCATCGTTCTTCTGAACGACATCATCAGCACACACTTCAGATAGAAATGAAGTGCTCGAATTTCTCCATATTCGTTTCACAGCTTGTTCTGCACACTTCGACGTTGATCGGTTCTTATTGACCTTCACTTCTATCTGAAGTTTGTGCTGATGATGTCATTCAGAAGAACGATGAAAGCTCCACGACCAAACCATCCAGCTCAGAGAACAAAACTTCACTAAAATCATCCACCTGAGCTACAAATCTTCTCCACCATCTCACTACATGTGTTTCTATCATTTTCTTAAGTAACTTATAAATATCAATCATCTACATTTAATCTGGTCATTTTAGTTATAGTTTTGTTTATTTCATACTTTCCTACCTAAAGATGCACACAAATTACAATTTGCTTTAGAATAATTGTTACAATAATAATATAATAATGTAAACATAGTATTACTTCTTAAGTATATGTTACTAAACTAAAACCAAGCTACACCAACCAACCATTTTAAATGGAAAAATGGATATCAGTGTTATGACGCTCAAATAAATAGTGTAAGTCTATCTGCTTTAACGAATATGCCATTTTTCAACAGTACATAAATAAAGAAGCTCCAGTAAAATATTTTCATGCAACTGACATATTAATCATTGAGTGAACAGTGAACTACTACACAAAAAATCATTAAAATGAGCTGAGTGATCAAATGAAAACAAACTAATAAATTCATTTGTAATGTTCTTTATACGTATTTACATCACAATGAATAGTGATCCTCTGACCATTCAACATAATAATGCTACCGCATATACCGCACTCTAGTAATTTGTCAATATGTCAAATTTTTATGACAATCAATTAGAAGGCTATAACTAACCAGTCGAAATTCGGAATAATTATGTTGTTCAATTAAAATTAAAGAAATGTCCCTAAAAACACTTATTAAGGCTCAAATAGGTAATACCTGATGGAAGGTTACGTATACATATTCATTGAAACACAATCACAACTGATATTTACTAAACATAATATATCATAAATACCAATGTAACAGGTTTTGTAGAATTCATATTCCATGAAAACTTACCGTAGCCCATAGTTTAAATGAACAATAAAATAATACTGTGCAAACATATTAAAAACTGTTCCTGTAAATGTTGAATATACAATGGGTTGAATAATATTTTGTGTTTGTAAGTATCGTGCAAATGTTAAAAATAAAAAATCAAACTGAAAAACAAGAAAAAAAAGGAAACAGATTCAGAAAATCAGTTCAATAATAAATTAATAAATTATGATCAAGTTAAAAATGATTGGTACATTCACATAAGTGACTTTGAAAATCGTTGAGTTATTTAAACACCACTTCACGTTATAAATCATCATCCAATTGATTTTTTTAATAAGATAAAAGATTATAGTGTTAAACCACAGTCTTTATCAGGATCAAACACAAAACTTTTGTTGAAGTAGTGTAAATATTTTATTTATTTTTTTAGTTATGGAAGCCGATCTCAGTTTTAGGCTCTAAAACTACTTTTTAGAGCTCACTATTGATTACCCAAAGGTATAACTGGGGTTATGTGACCCGATACATAATAAACAAGACCTAAAATGACCTTTTGAATTCATTAATTGGAAAGTACGAATAAATACTCAAGACTCAAGCAACGTAAGTAAATATGTCCAACAAATCAGTTACGTCTCATAATTCGTCTACTGGTGAAAATTAATTGGAAACTATCAAAAGGTAATACAACTAAGGTGTACAGTTTAAAATGGTCACATTAAAAAAGACGCAAACTCGTAATTAGAGCAGGTTTTGGTCATGTTTCGTGAAGATATTACAACAAGATCAAATACCTTCAATGGTTTAATGGTTACTTACATGACTCTAAACAATCATGTTCTTTTACAATAAAACACAAAGTTTTCTACATATTATGCTGACAAGTCGTTTTAGGTAATTGAAGACTGTATTTTATTGAAAAGAAAACTGTGGTTCATATTGATTAGTCATTATTTTATAAACGTTACATGCATCAGAGAATTCTAAAATGTTCAAATTAAAATGTGTTGTAATAACAAAGTAATAAACTGGATACTTCAAAATATAAAAGCATTAAGTCAATTTATACGACAATAAAATACCATGGATCAATTTTTTTATTATACATTACTCACCCCAAGACCAGGCAAAAAGTATACAATATATTCTGATGTAAGGCTAAATGAAGTGTAATAGAAAACATTACATGGGTATATATAAGTATTTATTTGTAGATATCATAACTAGCATCTTCTACTTTTATGAATTGCTTTAAAAACTAATGAACAATATTTCTTTGTATTCAGAATAAGGGTTTTTTATGAGGCCTCATGATCTTAAGACTATTGGGAACCACAAAATACGTCTGTTTTGTATAGGGTTTGAACACAGGCTGTAAACGTTAAAGTTTATGCTTGAAATTAAACCAAAAGCCTCACTGATCCAATTCAAGCACGGCAACTTTAGACCATTCTGTCGATACCGAGTAGTTCACATTTTCGGCCTGTTTGTAAGTTGATACCATCCTTATCAAATGTCATTTAATTGCCTCTTGGATTTCAGGTTTTGTTTACTTCACATATTACAGTTTTCCATTCGAAATTCCGAAATTCTCTTCAAGCGTTTGGTGTAACTGAGCATACAAGTATTATTTAATTAGAAGATAATGGTATGTATCCTAAACAGACCAAAATTAAAAAATTAAAAATTGTCTTCAAATACTTCTAATTAGCTCTAAATATATATAGGAAAGTTGTCCCAAGTTTCATAATTTTCAAAGGTTTTCAGTTCATGATAACTTGTGATGAAGAATAATTATTTGAGGGTACTCCGGAAAATCTGGAAAAAATTATTTGCAACATGTCAAGCAGTGACTTGGTCGAATCAAGACTTTCACTCGAATTGAAATCTCATGTTCCACTGGCAGAATTGATACAGAAACTCAGTTTGGGAACCTGTATCAACACTTGTCGGGACTGAAAACAATCGATGAAGACAAACAAGGTTGACTAAAATTTCTATTCCTTTATAATGGCAATCAATACATAGATGACTCTGCTAGCTTCCTAGTTGACTGCCCAAAAAACAACAGGAAGTTAAAGGAACATTTGAAGGGGAACTCATTTAATATTTAAACATATAAAGTGATCCAGATTGCCTTACGGATGTGGACTGCCAAGAATACAGAAATCTGATGTTTTTATTAGCTCTATCCTAACGATGATCAATTCTTCATCTCACAAACTCGCTAAGTAGTTAGTGAATCAGTTAGAACTTATTCACTCGAAGTTTTCTATCCATGGTTTAAAAGACACTTTTAAATTTACTAATATGCTGAAAAATGTTGATGTTTTTGATAAATTCGTGGTTTCATTTGTCATATCATCATTATTTACCTCAATCAAACCAGAAGAAACCACACAAATCATATGTCAACATAATAAACTACTTCCGTTACAGAAAGACGAATTCAAGGAATTAACACTAATATGCGCTAAAGACATTCAATTTTGATTCAACAATATCCTTCAGCGTCAAGTTGATGAGGTGGCCATGGGCGGTCAGCTGGGTCCAATCCTGGTAGATACCCTAGAACAAACTGTTTTGACACAACATTGTACGTCAGTTATTTAGACGATACATTTGTTTCACATAATGATTCTCAATATGCTTCTCGTATACTACACATTTTCCACAGAGAACACCCTATCATTAGATTTAAAATGGAAAGTAAACATGAAAACATGTCTCATTTCCTAGATCTTGGTATTAAACGTAATTCAAATGGTCTATTAGAAGGACATATTTATTGAAATAACACCTGGAGTGAGATCTACTTAAACTTACATAACTCCTGTACGACAAACCACAAAATAGCTTTGGTTAGAACGCTATTCAACCATGTACGCAGATTATGCTCTGTGGATAGACTTAAAGTGGAATTGGCCACAGTTAAACCCTGCTTACATGAGAACTGTTGTGGCGAAAATCCATATGTAAATGCTGAACAACCAGACAAATCGAAATGGAATATCTTACGGTTAAGAAAAAGTCTTTCTTTTTAGAACTTAGATATAACAGTGATGGAATAGCTGGAAGGAATGATTTTAGACTAAGTGCCTAATGCTCATTGTAACAATCAAATGTGGACGATTACCCACATACCTTTAGATCGAATTGTGTTTATTAGTTTAAATGTACGTGCCAAATCAAGTGGTTGCTACATTGCATAATATATAGAAGAACTATCAAAATATTTTGATGAAAGTTCAGTATTACAGTAGTTACGTAAGAATCAAGATAGAAATGTTGAGAATATGTAATGTACAAAAAAAGAAGAAACTAGAAAATTGTCTGAGTATTTTTGAAGGAAAGATCTTAAACAAATTTGAGCTAAAACCCACTCCCATACCGATGGCCAAGGTAGTGAGAAAGGTTGCACTAACTTCTTTTGGGTGCAAAGGTTAGGTTCAAGAACAAAAATTCTGATAGCTTCAGTATTGTGCAAAAGACGAACTCGTAACCCATGTGATAAATATGGTGGAATATGCTGTATAACCTTAAACGCTTTATTCAAGTCAGCTGTATGAAGTGAACGAAAATAGAACTCTAAATCAATCTTATCTGTCCTTTTCTCAACCAAGACGGATAGTGTTCTGCTATGCGATGAAGAGCTTGACGAATTGTACATCCAATATAACTGGTTTAACAGGAGCCAGTTTGCGAGAAGAAAAATGTTTTTTTAGTCCATACTCGTGTAAAATATCCATACAGTTTACTCATAGACGAGCGAACGTCTGAGCAATTTTAGTTCTTCCGTATTATGATCTCATAATATTATTCTATAAATACACTTTAACTCAGTTTATTCTAGACGTTTCTAATATAAAGTATATAGGTTTGTCCTAATGATCACTACTGTGGTTTTAGGAGAATCCAGGAAATAAATGAATTCATGTTATTCTGTTACAATATTTGTTCTTTCTTTATTAATGTTTACAGATGGGAAAGGTTGTATGGAATAACTGAATATACCTGAATATATATATATATATATATATATATATATATATGGAGAAACACGGGACACTTTGACTGCATAAACTAACAACCATAAGGACTTCTTTTATATCATACATATACAAAGCTTGAAACTATTCCGGTAAAACTTAGAATAATAGCATCACCTATAGAGATAGTTGGAAATTTGATTATCGATTACTAAAATGATCAATTACAGTTTTATTCACAAATGTAAATTTAATCGTATAGAATCTGTGCAAAGAATTAATCTATTAAAACTACTGATTGGACATTGAACACTAATTATCCATTTTAATATTTACGGCAGTACAAAAGAATCAAATAAATACAGACTCACGATGCAGTTAAAGGATTTTGACCAAGTAATAATAATACTGTTTCAATATTCAAATGTATACACACCAATGTCATGTACATTAGACATACAACACATAAAGCTGTATAAATTAAGAAAATATTTTAAGGTAAATATATATGCAAATTTTTTCGATATTACCTCGTTGAAGCAGTGTCCCTATGAGTTCACGATTGCGACTTCCATATGCCTAAACATTGGAAAAATGGAAATTTTAACAACACAGTTTCATATATATAATCTGAAATGAATGTGAAAATTTCTTTTCAGAATAAATTAAAATCATTTTGAGTACAAAATTACCACAATGACGTCAAATTCAGCATTCTGTCAGTGATATCATCTAGTACTAAAGTTTTTCTTCAGTATTATATGTCTAAAGTCATGTTCCTTAGCAGCGTAGATAACGATTTATCAATAAAATACATAATCCAACTAAAAATATACTAATCTCAGCTTCTGAACATCCGTAGTAAGTTTAAATCATTACAACTCCATAACTTACTCAATGGTTTCCAACTGGTTAATAATTTCAGCACTTTGTCGTTTGTGAATCAGTCATCATGAATAAATATTACACACTTAGATTGTAGTTTCGTTAGATTGAAAAAGAAATACATGTTTTTATGAATATTATCAAATTTTCGAATGCCGAACAAACAATATCGATTGTTATTCTAGAAGTCTACCAACTTGTTAAAAAAAACTGGAAGATCATTATTAAGATAATTTAATTTTTACCACTTTTGAACAATTTTTATCAAAAAAGCAACAAAATTTTGGTTTTTTTTACGTTTGTTTATCGTTTCAACTAGTGTTATCACTTAAAGAAAAGTATATGAAACCTTTAATTGACTATTAGTTTCTAAAACTTCACTCTCTATATATACTAACCTAAGTGATACTTTTGTGCATGGGACTTATGCTGACAGATAGTAGTAGTATGTAGCATCAGTTGGAAGTGGAATGCCTGGGAGCAGAAGACTGAAATCAGAAGAACAGGAGGGAAATCTGAGAGCAGTCGAAAGAACAACAGAATTCGAGGAACAATAAAATATGTAAAGGACAACGTTTAGATGTGTAAATGACGTATCTAATGTGTGATTTACATATTTTACTAAACTATTATGTGATTTCACATTAAACAATGAATTGGTTTGCCCCGCCCGAGTTCTTGTCCACTATAAAACTATTGACTCTACAAAAAGTAAAAGAGTTGACTATTGTAGATGATAAAATATTAAATCCGACTAGTTTGTGATTTTTCGTTAAAATATCGATTTACCAAAATAATGATCAATACAGACTAGCACAGAAAATTTTCAACTCTTAAAAACTAGATAGTAAATTTGGGTAGGCTAAAGGTGGGATATCACTGTGTCCATTTTATCCTCTACTTGTAGTGAAAAATTAAATGTTAATATATGATTTATATGCTGAAATTATCTATAATGTTCCCAGTGTTTAGGAGACAAGTTACATCCAGCACTCTTGGTCACCCTTCTGTCCACTTATTATTTCATAATTAAAGTGCCATTAAAACTAGAGAATTCATTTTAAGCCCTACCTTTTATTATATTTGTGTTTTTTATGCGACATATTGGTCTATGATACAGTGATGTATTTATAAGACTTACAAATAACTTTCAAGAGCTTTAAACAAAATCCCACCACTAAAGGAACGGAAAAATTTCCGAATGCCCTGGATGCAACACATTCAGTACCCACTGAAAACGTTACGAGATACCTCAGTCGACTTCAGTACTCTGATTTTATTTGTTGTGAATAAAATTTGCCGAATAATAGGTCATTTAAATAATGGAATACTTTTCAAGCAGATTACAGTAGACAGATGTTCCTGGTTGAAAAATTCCATACAACGCTGGTGAGGAAAAAATTTAAAAATAAAGGGAATTGGGCAAAAGAAATTTTCTTTTCGACAAAATCATGTACTTGTTTTATGTGTTTAATGTAATCTGCCTCTAAGGAGCAAGTAAATTTATAGATGCACATTGATGTGGCCTAAAGCGGAAGTTTATCCTTAACACATTCGTGAATGTTTAGATGACCTGATATGACAACCTGGAGCTAAGTTGAATATAAGGTTTTATTCAGGGATTTTGAAATCCGTTTACTCATGAGTTTGTTAGCCGTATCTCCTTTCAATTCAATATTCATTTATACCCTTTCAATTTTGTTCAAAAACTAATTATTTCATTGGTTCGACCTGACTTTCGTACTATGTGATCCAGGCCAATTATGTAGTCACTGTTGAACTAATACCCACCCTTTTTTATTGAAATTTAGTTGAGTAAGCTCCATGGATAATGCCTCATTTTCATTGGATAGCTCCAATCGTGCGTTTTTAGACAGTTGTTACAGTCGGCTCATCTCTTTGGAAAAATAAATTCTTGCAATTCATGCAATTGATGGTATTTAACTTCTATGCTACTGGGTTAACTGTTTACTAATGAAAATTGGATACGGACGTAATAATTGTTTTGGTTATTAACAAGGTAATAGTATATATGATGAAATTAATCATATAGACCTATGCAGTGATAAGGAATAGCAGGATAGTGTGCTTTAATGCTATTGAAAATGAATTGGAGTTATATACACTGTTTACCTATCCAAAGAGTTCCTTTGATCTATCACGTTTTATAGTCTTACTCTACTGAAAAGAAACATTTGAACGTGTTTAGACAAGAGATTATTACAAATACTATTTTTAAAACTATTATCAGGTTATATCGTAGGATATATTATTATATGATTATAATGTTTAAATCTTGAAAACTTCAACTTGGTGTAACTTTATGAAATAATAATAACAAGAAGGTCTTAAGGATTTACAGACTTATTGATCAGTGTTATTAGACCCCAAATAATATAATGATAATCATTACTAGACTTAAATAAAGATTTAAAGATATGACACTGAATACTTAAATTGAAAGAATAGTAGTTCTTATTATCATCACTCATTTATTTACAAGACCTAGTTTTCTTAATTACGTGTAGTCATTTTTTGGTTATCCCGCCAAAAGCAAATTCGAATATGGTTTAAATAATGTCAATTGAGTCACCAGACATATAAATTAGATAAAAATAGAAAACATTTAAAACTGTTCATTTGTCAACTGTTGCACAGATGAAATAAGTATAATGTCAAAATTGTGTATTATAAGATCTCAATTGTCAATACACTGTATATGTGAATGAATCGGATAAAATTGAAAAGCTCATCAATAATAAATACGAGTTTATCATGATCAGAATTATTAGTTTGCCTAGAAACAAATTAACCTAATCAGCAACAAGTAAAAATTTAAACAGACATGTCGTTTACCTACAGCATTAAATCACGGGAACAGATAAACAATAAAAAGAATGTTGACATTTCAGTCAAGAAAATATTCTTTCGGAAAATGGCATTTTCTTGTACCGTACAATCGTAATTACATATAATTTTACCATGTGTACTACATAATGAAATACAATATTCACCTGTAAACTGTTATTAATTTCATCACAAATTTAATATACAACTTTCATTTTGCTACAACGCCGAATGGATCATGTAAAGTAATCATGTGATCATGTAATTTAATGTAACATGTGCAGATGACTGTAAGCATATATTACATTAGTATCACTAGTTTGAATTCAGTGGTGAAATGACATGTCAATAACATATAAATAAAAATATAAAAATCACATCAAACAGATAATTATTACAATTTCATTTGTCTCAGACGCAGAATATCTCATTTATTGTCTGATATACGTCAACGGCTTGACAACGTACTTTGGGTAAATTGACCAATCAGTGCCAATCTCAGTCTAGTTGGTGGGCTAAAATATGACTAGGTTTCGAGGTGTAATAAACAATTATGTGGTCAAAACAAAAGAATTCGGTTAAATATTTTTGGAAGCGTTGTCGACAGCGCATTCTACTCCAGTTAACCTTGTCAATTTGTGAAACATTTAGACTAGTATATAAGTCATGGTGACTAGAAACTTTTTGTTTTCTATGGAAACACTATTTGACAAACTACATTCATTTAAGACTCAAAACTCAAAACTGAAATTTATTCAAAAAGAATCGTTATTATACATTTTGTTCTTATTCGGATCATTAATAAACCCTTGAAACAGATTAGTATGAGATCATTAGCTTATTAACTTCTACATTTAAATGCTTGTCATAAGAGAAGGATAAACTTGGTTCACTTTTAATGTGCTCGAGCTCATGATAATTTTATTACTGACCGTTTTGCAGCAAAAGAAAACTTTATAAACGAAGATGGATGGTGGCTAGCAGTGGAATCCAGGACGTGCATTTTGTCTTATTTGGGACTCGTCATCTGGATGTACCAACATCTCAGAAGTTATGTTCACTATGGGACTCTAACCCGGTACCGTTCATTTCAAACGAAATCGCGTTATCCACTTAGCTACTGGGTCCTAATAACCTGGGATGCAGGCACATCCTGCTGACGCGTTCCATATAGGACGAAACGCGCGTCTTAGATTCTACTGCTAGCCACCATCCATCTTTGATTATAATGCTTGTGAGTTAAGGCAATCCTCACAGGATAAACATATGTCAATAAGAGACTGATCAATTGCAGTCCTAAACATCAATAAGAAGATTCAAACAAACAATACAAAGTGAATTAAAAGAAATCTTTCTTGGCAAAAAGTCGAAAATAGATACTTAAGGTGACTATTGATCAATGTAATCTATAAACCACAAACAAAAATGTCAAAAAGTTGTTTACTGGAAGTTCCTGTATTGAAATCTAAATTTTAAGGATCAGGAAATTTTTTACAGGTACAAGTTAAAGTAGTCTTTATAAATAGCAGATTGATCTTAGGAGAAATGAATATTTAGTTTCTTCATCTGTCCTATATCTATTCCTCATGTATCTAAGTACACTAATTGTTACTAGTATTACGCTCAACTCTTATACATGAGTACGTGCTTATATAATTTCATCGAGCAGGGAATGTAGTAGTAAATAGTCCCTTATTTGAGACTTATTAACTTTCCACACAATAACTTTAAGATTGTGCATAGAATTTCTTCATATATTCCATAATTTAACGTTTTAAAACAATAGAACCTATAATTATCCATCAAATGAAACTTGGTTTCAGTCTACAATAGGTTACAACCAGTCTTCATTTTTCACACAGCCTCAGTTTATAATTCATGTGATATTATTTTTTTCCCAATTACTCCTTGGATTTATTTCTGACTGTGGACAGATTATAGTGCTTTGAGTAACATTAATTTTCTCAAGAGTGAAGACTCCTCCAAGTCGAAACATGTCAACTAGTAATAAGTCTATGTTTATAGATTCCAACTGATTGATTCCAACCACCCTATATCGAAGTGCATTCATAAACAAAAATGTCCTAAACTGAGAAATATTTATTTAAATCTATTAAAACTCCTACAAATAATATCCAAACAACGGTATCTATCTAACAGGAAGATTAGCAACAAGCGTGTTGGTTGGCAAGTGTTTATCAACATTGTTACTTAGTCTTTAAGTTAAACATAAATATATTAATCAAAAGCTATAGTCCAATTTACCAAGCAAGATAGCAATGAACAGAATTTAAAGTTAGATTATACTGTGGAGTGTAGAAAACAACACTGATAGTTTCTAGATTAAAACAACATGATAATACGATTTTATGGACAACTGTCAAAGTGATTCTCATTAAAAATTATCGACACATGCTCTAGCAAATAACACAAAGCAAACGTTCATAGTTTATATTGACCTATTACCAGATCTCTCACAATGTTTTTCTGATATTTATTATTCATTTTGATAACTTCCATTTCAGTCAACGTATGGGACGTATAATCACTGTTGATAGAGCTTAAGGTTGTACATACATTAAATAATACATTTTAACCATTTCCACAGTCTGAAAGTTAAGTATGAAGTAAAAAATCATTCGATTGGTATATCATACGTTGTGAACTTTAAAAACAGCACACATAAATAATTTACAATGATGAATCTTTGAAAAAATTTGCTCAGATCAAAATTTGTTCCAGATTATTACAGGATTTTCACAGTTGAAATCATCAGTCAATCTAAGCTAGACCACTACTATAAACCCAGAAGCATTGGACGGTTGTTTTGTCCTAGTACAGGACTCCTCAGAAGTGTGTATTCACAATCCCACACAGATGACTATTACCCAAGACCTTCCTATTGATCGTGAGAATGCTTAATCTTTAGACCATTGAACAGTCATCCAACCGTGTAAATGTTTAACTTCAAGCAATCCATGATTTCTTTTATTAATCATCATACTAAAAATTAAAAAAAATTCTTTTCAGTTGTTTTTAATAAATAAAAAATAGTGAATAGAGAATTGAAATATTTTGTTTTTAAATCAACAATAACTACTGACTTGAGAGAAAAGTGTATCACAGGCACTTGAAAATCCTGTATCAATGCTTAAACCAAAAATATTGATTATCTGAAATAATAAGAAAAAAAAATTAAAACAAACAATGATAATTTGAAAAGAAAAAAAAAGAAGAAAAGAAAGAATAACACCCAAAGGTTATTTTTATAAATTAAAATTATATAAACTCATGCCTATTGAATTATTTTATTAGATGTAGTCTGAAAAGTACACTATTCTCATCCAAAGTTCAAATAATTTTAAGAAATATTATTACTATAGTAACAATATAATGTATGATATTACACAATTTTTAGTTTATTTAAACAATTGAAATCAACCAATCAAATACATAATTATGCTCTTTTTTAATTAATCATACTTTATTAACTATCATAGTTACAAAATCTATCCGATATGATTCAGTTTCAATTTTTACTCATAAATATTTAGGTTCAATTATTTAATTTTACTTTATGATAAAGTTTATATAGAGAATGATGTTTTGTATGAAATTGAAATGTTTACTAATAAATATAAGAGTGATTTGTACAAAATGATTCTAGAATATCAACATTCTTTATTGAAATCTAGTTATCAATCAAAATGATAAGTTTTTCAAATATTTATATAAGTTTAAGCTGGTAGTTGTAAACATTTTATTCATTTATCTTTAAATAATCAAGCATATAAACAGTATCAGAATGGGTTTTGTGAATATTATAATAATTTTATTAGTTGAGTTCATGAGTCAATTGAAGCTAGACTATCATAGAAAACCTGAAAGCACTGGATGAGTGTTTCGTTCTGTTGACTCATGATCTCAACTATTAAAATTACTATAATATGCATAAAACCCATTCTGATACTAATCAACGTATGCTCACTAGTGACTGACTTCAAGAGATATTTCTTGGAGTTCTAGTGAGAAGCAGTGACTAGTGAAGTTCAACCGGGTTTGTTGTGAGATAGTAACTCACTGAAGACAATGATGGATGTATCATTCAGTTACGTGGATTGGTTGAAATTAGACATTAACACCGTTGGATGCCGGCCCAGTGGTCTAGAGATTAGGAGCTCGTGCGCGAGATAGATATGTCCTGGGTTCGAATCTCGCAACAGAATCGTGGGTGCGCACTGATGAGAAGTCCTATACTGGGAAGAGACGGCCGTCCAGTGCTCCCAGATTTTCCATGGTGGTCTAGCTTCAACTAATTTATGATCTCAACCATTAAAAACTATAAACAGCAGTTAATTTGTTTGAGTAATCATGAATCATGTTGTGAGATGATAGTTAATAAAAGAAACAATAAAGAAAATACTAGAGATTATGGAAAAGGTAAACATTTAATCTAAGGCAAAGTTTTAACTGATACAAAAAAATTACAATTAAGATGGCTAAACTTACACAGTTAGCCAACGATGAAGCGTCTAATTCTTCTCGACTTAAATGTCCACAGACCATTACACTGATTGAAGGATTAGTGAAGCGTAAGAGTTGTGAAATCATCTGAACAAAAGAAATGTTTCAAGAGAACTACAAAATTCAGTTTATGTTTCTGAAATTTAAATAATAATAAGATGCAGATTAATGTGAATATCATATTTTAAATTTATTTATGATGTATATACTCTTAATGAACTGATTCACATTACTTATCCGTCTTCTTTAAAACTTTATTAGTAATATGCAATGTTTAGTAAAAGAAAACTCTAAAGAGCATTCAGATAAAGGCATTTTAAGTAATTCTTTCTTAAAGTCATTATACTCTGGAAGTTTTGTGATAATTTAGATCAAAATATCCACTGGAAAATATATAAATAAGTGAAAACTTTGAATAAATAAATGAAATTTTCACTTCCCAATACTGAAATCGTAAGCAGGATCAACTGGAAACGTTTTAGATGGTTTGGATTTGTTCTTCAGATCATATCAAGAATACGTTCTAGAACTACGAAATTATAATTAAATAGATATTGGAAAACAAAACTGTTGATTAACATAAATGCACGATGATGAGCTGCTGGTGTTGTTTTGTGAATTCCGCTTCTATGTAAGACCTATTTTTCTGGTATAACTGCATACTTACAGTTCATCCATTTACCAGTCTTCCATATGCCATTTGATATATTTAAAGATTACCATCATCAATCAAATCTCATTTATCTTGTAACTAACTCATGTTGTGGAATGGAAACTTTTAACCTGCGTTCTAATATCCAGTGTGAAGTGGTATGGAAAACCTGTAGCGTAACTGAATGTATTTCATGATGTTTTATTTTTCTGAACCGAGTTATTTAATCGCAAAGCTTTCATTATCATTGTGAACAATATTATCAGTGAAATCAATATATTCTGATGACCCGGTTAGTGATTGGTTGTCCATAAATATTTTGTTATCTTAATATACATTTGGATTCCCACTGATTTATGTATTACGTTAACCTTTGATTGTGTAATCGATTAACGCAGACCACAGTGGTTGAAAGACTGAACATATATAATCTATTAATGAAGATTTACCATGTCATCACGTATATTGATCCATGTAGGTACCTATAAACGTGTATTCAGTTAGGAAGATGTCATGATGCATGGTCTGTAGACACCAACACAATCAAACAAGCTTCAAACTCTCTTCTGACTATGCATTTAGTCTTTATTATAGAAGAATTTTCTAATGCTTACTGTTTCCAACTCTATCCAGTTTATTATGATTACTATCATTACGAAATATGACGCCTGTTCATACATGTACAAATCTATATGTGAATATCAACCCTATTTTGATTTATGCTACCCACTTCGTTCCTTAATAATTTTTAAATTAATTCAGTGGTTTGAAGATAAAAGTAATGGGAAAACCTCGTTTATAATATTGATTTTTTCTTGCTAAAAGCTCATACACCACCTAGAGGCTAGATCAAGATTAAATGGGTAACAAATGTCTAGACAAACTTTTCCTTATATTTTGTGAAATGAGGTTGTGTCTTATAAAAAAGGCTCATTTATAAACTTACGGTAGGTAGTGCCAGTGCAAAAATCTTTTTAAGCTCATTGTATCGGTTACTGTTAAGTGTACTGGTTTGGTGGACTGTAAACCTGAAAGGTAAGAGCATCGAGTTACACACGCTTTATACGAGTATATTACTGAGTAAAGGTATGACTAGTGTAACGAGTAGTCTGATTAATATTGAGTCTGAATGAGCTGTTATCATGCCCAAAGAAAAATTAGTCAATGCAGTATATATATTACTTGTAAGTATTGATGTAGCGATCAACCTTGTATCATGATCATAAACCTAAAGACTTACTTCACTAAACACTAGTACACGAGGACGTAAACCTCGCATGTCGTTTATGCATGAGTGCCTCAGCATAAAAATGACAGAATTTGCGAAGCATTTATTTCTTCCTTTCTTTTTATCCTGGTTATTCATTATGATGCAGCATGCGAAACGTGACACAAATAAAACTAATTTGAAATCTGTCAGAAGATTATTAATACGAAGAACATGAAGTTATCCCATTCATGTACTGGATTCATACTCTACTCAAGTTGGGCTTTACCTCATTGAAGCATGTCATGTTTACTTAACAACATCTAAACCCAAATAAAGAAACTTAAATCAAGCCTTGACTCAAAGTTTACTTGTTTTTTTAAAAAATTAACAGTCTAAGAAGATAAATAATAAAGGCTTCGCTAACCCTTTCAAATGGTTTACTTATTGTCCATATCTACCTTTTTATTCAACTAATATATTAGGTATTTTGCTGGTTGAATGTTTCCATTTCTCACAAGAGTAGTATTAGTTCAAATTTTTGACAAAACTGAACCAAACATATATAAGTTACCAGCATATTTTTCAAACTCTGGGATAATTTGCCACAATCTGTCCGTGACTAATATCTAACACGCACAGTAAATCATAAAATGACCTGACATATGTATAAAGGTAGGCCTAAATGGCACATCGTAGTAATTGTTGCTTCTGTTGTTCCGTGTTCTTCGCTTCCGTTTGTTTACTATACTTGTAGATCAATTCGTTATGGAGAAGATGATATTAAATACACAGTCTATATATCAATGGGATTTTCACTTAAAAGTTCCCTGTTGATGCCTTTCATTGATGTAATACTTGTGAAAGATGCAATAATTAAACAATTTTTAGCTAGAACACTTCAAACAATCGAATATCACACATTTAATATTAGTTTCACTAACAATTGAGTGCAAAAAATGCGAGCTGAATGAAATGATGACTAAACAGTACATAAGTTCAACCTGCATAAACAAGTGTTGTTCACCTTACCAAAATCCGCTATATGTGTAACAGTTTACTAGATACAATAAAAATAAACTGATTCTTTTATGACGTAAATTTGAGCTATGTTGAAGAACAAGCAGAACATCCTTTGTTCTTGATGCAATGAATACATAGTTTTTCTAACTTTCAATAAAAATAAATAATACAACCAAAGTAATAACTAATTGATATTGAGTTGTTTTGATTTTTGACAAGGTTTTCCTCCTAAAACTAATACTGGTAACTTAAAGAAGATATTGCGATTCTTTAAAAAATCCCAAGTTTTTTCATTTGTACCCAAGTGTTTAACCTCCTTTACGTAAACAGCTATGTAGATAGAGCCAGCGACAAGCATACGGCAGCTTTATTTAGTGTGTTGTTAGAACCAACTAGCTCCATTAGAAGTTCAATCTTAACCGATTTGGTGAACATAGTGCTTAGCATTACTCATCATATAAAAGTGCGTTTGAAGTTTGTACTTATACGTTTCGGAACAAATTCATAGACATGAAAATTTCTTTTTCATCATCCTACACATGCTGTAAACCTACATTTGGACTATAACATTAATCATACACAATCCTAGACAACGGTACATATTATTTTCATGTGTACCTTTATAATTTTTATTCCTAATATTGTTTATCATCATTCTTTGAGTATTCATTTTGTTAAGTGTACCTAAAGACTTTCTCTACCTCCCAAATACACACAAATTCCTTACAAAACTACAGTGACCGTATAAGAACTTACGTGGCTTTATCATAGTTATTATAAAATTTCCTGCCCACTTGTTTATTTATGTGTACTTCAAATGTACTAACCACAAATGTTCGAAATAAATATTTGTAATTCTAATTGTAAAGCCTGATGGGAAAATTATATAAAATACATATCTGCTTAGATTATATTTCATGGCTATTATAATAGGAATATTCGAATTGGTAAATAATCGTGAACCTTGAGCATATTGACTAAAACCTAAGTATTCACAATTGATTGATCACTAGATGGTGATCGATGTCATTCGTGTCTAGTCCCTATTTAGTGCAGATCGAATGCTATCGACCATGTTGAAATGTGGCCACCAGTCTAGGTGACTCGACACTGAGTACACTATATTTTGAGATTAGATGGTGGTTGGAGGTAGTCGACAGGAAACCGTCGACCCGGGTTTCGTGTTACTTGGCACTCGTCAGCAAGATGTACCTGTAATCTTGAGGGAACTGGTGCTCCATGGCGGATTCGACCTCGTGTCAACCAGCTTCACAGTCAGAGACGTTACCACTGAGCTATCCGGGTCGCGACTGACCTCGGGATCGAATCCGCCACGGAGCACCAGTTCCCTCAAGATTACAGGTACACCATACTGACGAGTGCCAAGTAGCACGAAACCCGGATCCACGGTTTCCTGTCGACTACCTCCAACCACCATCTAAAACCTGAGTATCTCCAACCAAAAGAACAATATAAATTATTAGATAATATAAAATACTATTGTTCATTCATACATTCATGAAAATCTACAGCTCATAATTAACCAGATAGGAAGACAGATTTAGAACTAAAGACATGTAGAAAAATCTGTGGTCGATATTTTTAAGATGAATTACCATTGTGTAACGATATACTTTAATTCTGTATGGGAGGATATTGATTATCAACAAACATTTTGGAGATTATTTCGATGATCATGGTAATGACAGTTAATATTTCATTAAATGTGATGTATGTGTTGTTGAATAGTCTCACTATCAAATAAGAATGATTAAATTTTAGTAGTTCACTGAATTCAAGCAAAATTTTTAAAAAATCCTTTTGTAAAATGTTTAAGAAAAATGTAATTCAGCTGCAGTAAGTGTTTGTTGTCTATTGTTTTATATTCACACAATAGGACGAAACGGCCGTTCAGTGGTTTCAGGTTTTCCATGGTGGTCTAGCTTCAACTGACTCATGATCTTAACCATTGAAATTAAAATAAAATTATTTAGAAAAAGAAAGAAGTTTAAATGATTACACTTTAATGTAACTCCTTAATGTGAATTAAGTTCCTTTTAGATTAATGGTAATAAAGAAAATATGAATTGAAATCAGTCACTTATGTAAGATGTAATTTAAAAGAGTTGGAGTAATGACGCAATAAATAAATAGAGAAATAAATGAATAAAAGGGGTTATTGTTACCAGGGTAAAGAAAGATTTATTACTGTCTCTTTTTGTATACATAGGTCTGGTTTTAACTGTTTGATTGCTAATGCTTCAGCAAATTTCAAAAGGTTGGAGTTTGATTGTTTGTTAATCACCCTGACAGACTTCAGTATATCGACTTCGTGTCCTGTGTTAAGGAGATGTCTTGCGATGGCACTGCTGGATGCTTTTAATCCATTTAATCTTAAACCATTCGGAATATGTTCTTTGAATCGGACGTACGCTCTCCTTTCTGTTCTACCAATGTAACTGCTTTGGCAGATACATGTAAATTTGTATACACAGTTGGTGGTAACATGAAAGGGATACCTGTCGACCTTGGATTGTGTCAAAGAACATGTTGTTTTGGACAGGACAATCAATTTCGCTGCAGGATAAGTTCTTGTCAGTGCAGTTTTTAGTCTCATATTGATTGATCCTGTGACATCGTCACCTTTGAATTGAAGTTTAATAAAAATAGGCTTTTTATTTGCTGTAATTTCTTTCGGTTTTTTATCTTCACATTCGCCATATTTCTCAATAAATTTCAGTGGGTATCCGTTATTCTTTAAATATTTCTTAACATTCATAACTTCCTCTTCTAGTGTATCGGAAGTGCATATTCTTTTTGTTCTGTGAAACAGTGTTTTGACCAGTGCCTTTTTGTAACTGATTGGACAAAAGCTATTGAAATTGAGATAACTCCCATTCCATGTGTCCTTCTTATAAACTGAATGTTGAACTGTACCATCTTTTCTTCTTTCCATCGCGATATCGAGAAAATGGAACTTGTTTTCTTTTTCATGTTCCATAGTGAAATGGATATTCGGATGTGCTTCGTTGAAAAACTGTAGCAGATTTATTGCATGTTGTTTATTATTACATACGATGAAGGTATCATCAACATACCTCAAATAATACGTCATTTCATCAATCGCTCGTTTGAGTTTGGTTCTTTCGAGGTTAGCCATGAAAATATCTGCTAGGACAGGACCTAACGGACTTCCCATCGCTACACCGTCGGTTTGTTTGTATACGATATCATTGAACCGGAACTGAACATCTTTTGTACAAATGAGTAATAGTCGTTTGAATTCTGGTACTGGTAGAGGTAGGATGTCAGAATGTTGACAACTTATGTCTATGGTCTCAAGAAGTGGTATTTTTGTAAATAAAGATGTTACATCAAAAGAAACCATAAACTTACCAGAAATATTTATGTGATTCATGCTGTCAGCAAATACAAATGAATCCTTTAGTGTATAGGTGGCTAATCGTTGACGCACTGGTTCTAACTTATCTGCCAACCATCGTACAACTTTGTGGTATGGTGAATTGATCATTGACAAAATAGGTCTAAGAGGATAACCTTGTTTATGTATTTTCGGTAATCCATACATGTGGGGCAAACGAGACCCACGAGGTCGTAGATTATTGTAAGTAGAGTTATCGATCATCTTCTTTCTCAGAAGATCTCTGAGTACTTTGGTGATTCTTTTCTCAATGGAATCAGTTAAGTCTTTGTTACTTTTTTCTAACTTGAATCTCATATGGTCATTCAAGATAAACTTCATCTTAGAGACATAATCTGTTTTGTTCATTAGAACAA